GAAACATGCAGTAAATTAATGAGTTACAAAATTACTACAGTAATTCTCAACAAATCATGGATGTCTTTTGCTTACAACCTTGCTGCCACTCAGCGTTTGAGGATTCTTTAGCCTGTGTCCTGCATCACGTTCAATTCAAAGACTCCATAAACATAACAGCTAGAGAATTGAAGCAATACATATACAGAGTTGCAAAAAATCAAAATAACCTAACAATTAAAATGTCAAAATTTTTTTATAAAATTATTTGAATATTTTTAATAAATTAATATATATTTAAATAATTTTAATATTTTAAATGTCAGAGCATTTAAATTTTCACTTTCTCTATGTATATATGTACTATAAAAAAAGCTTGATGATGAATTGATAACAATAATAATAATTAATCCTCACTCGTTAAGCCATAACCGCATTTGCTTGCTTGAGATTGAGAAATGCCCGACAAACTTGTTTGTAACCACTCCTATAATGCTCCAGTGAGAAACAAAGCTGTCGAATTGCCTCTTTTTTCTTCTCAGCTCCATCCAGGATCATGCTTCTCTGCCATTCCACTTCTTTTTCCAGCTCACCCACTCTCTGTTTCAATTCATCAGCTAGTTCCCCTGAACTTTCAGCCATAGAAATCAGCTGCAAATGTTCCTCACGTAACTGCCCTAAATGCTCCTCTTTTTCAGCAATCTGCTTCTCTCGCCAACTTACTTCCGCCATCAGTGTGTTTACCTTTGCATTCATCTCATCTTTTTGTGTCATAACCGTGTCATATTTCAACTTCAGTGTGTCAAGATTCTTATTCAGGGCTTCTATGTGCCCATCTCTCCCACCCACTTCTGCCTTCAATTCATTGATCTGACCTCGCAACCCATTCTCTTCAGCATCACGCAAATGTTTCATCTCCATCTTCTCTGCTTCACACTGCATTATCTTTTCCTCCAATGATTTGGCCCTTAATTCCCATTCGTTGAGCTTTGCACAAGTCAGGGTATGTTGTTCTGACAAACTAGCAATCTCAGACTGTAGCTGCTCTTTGACCATTAAGAAATTTTCCTGGGCATCACATAATCCAACCTCTAACCCCTCAATTTCACAATCACGCTGAGAAAGATCATTGCTGTATCTTGCCAATTTCTCTGTCAATTCCATAACCTGCAATCTTTCTGAATCAAGTTGGGTTTTCAGCATGCCCACATCTGCGTCAGCCAAGTTAAGATCAGAAATTTTCTTGCCAAGCTCCTGTTTTAATTTTGCAATCTGTTCGTCTGACAACTTGAGCGTCTCCCTATTTACATCGAGCTCCTCCCTCAACCTAGAAATCTCAGAGTTGGAGGCTGAGAGTTGAGATTCCAAATCAGCTATCTGTCTCCGCAACTCAAGTACTAATTTGTTCTCCAACTCAGGACCAACTTCCCTTTCGTCAGCAAATTCACTCTTCAACCTGACATCCTCTTCTTCATATAGCTGGCATTTTTGGTCAGGAGAAATTCTCAATCCTTGTTTAGATTTAGTGATAGCTCCAGGAAGCTCTTTATCATCGTTTGCATTTGTGATCTCCTTAAGCATACCATTACCATCTGCATTGCCTGCCTCATCCAGCTGGAGCTGCTCATGGTTTAGATGATGAATAATCCTCTGAGTCTGATCTACTCCATCACCATGATTAATGTTTTGCATGGGGGAATCCAAGTAGAGGATGACCGAGGATCCATAAGATTCTGAATCAGAGTCTGACAAGAATGAAGATGAATCGGCGGCATCTTTCAAGGAGAGACCAGAGGTATGACCACCAGAGCTGAGGGATGCATCTGACTTATGCGCATCCATGTTTTGTTGAGGAGAGGCATGGTGTTTATATTTGACAGATTCAGGAGTTGATAGCTGACAGTTTTGTGGTAAATTTTTACACAATTCTTCTGTAAAATGGTGATAACGCTGTGCCAGTGATTGGTAAATGGTGTAGAATTCCTGAAGATGGAGATTATAGAGAGAACGCATTTGCGGTGAAGATTCAGCATGATCCTCGATCAACTTGAGCATTTGCTTGACGCTCTGGTCCATTTCTGCAACCAAAAGTCTAATATCAATTAGGTAATTTACAGGATGGATGGATGGATGGACTACTTACTACAAATTAACCAAATGAACTTAGATCAGTGTATGCAGTTAAGAATTTATGAGAGGTGTATGTTTAGCTAACAATTGGGGGAGTGGAATCACAATAATATAACAAACACAGAAACAGTATTAATAAGTAACATCTAGTACTATATAGCTAGAGGTGCTTACTCTCGCGATTTTCTTCCAGCCATTGGGAATTGTCAGGACTGAGATGACTACGCCACGACTCAGACATGGAATCCATCTTCTCCATATTAATTGGACTGCAACCTCTGTTTTCTCGTTCCCAATATGTAACAAATAAAACATTACACATGCACATTACAGGCAGAGGAAGCTAGCATAATATCTCAAGATTAACAGCCAACGACAACCATTCCGAATTAATTAAGCTTGAGATGGTTGGCTGTTGGTCTATAGCAAAATAAGTATGTACTAGCATATCTGGGTACTGCATTAATTTTCAGTTTATAGAAGGGAAACGGCAGATCTAGATAAGATAATCAACAAAATCTGAGAGACATTGAGAATTAAATTAGCATTGAATGAGATAGAAGAAATTAATTGCAACGAAACTTACAGGGCTGATGGATGAACCAAAAATGAGTGTAAAAGGAAAAGAGAAGATGCAAAATTGAAGGCCGAGTTGACTGACCTGATCACGTTGTGGCGCCAGATGGAATGCCCAAGCGCAAGGGATTTCAGATGCGGAATTGGGGGAGAAAGAGAAGAAGCTTAAAACCTCGAGAAAGAAGGTCTGAGAGAAAAAGCCAGAAAAAAGGACAGATAGGTAGGTGGAGACAAAAACAAACAGAAGAGTGGAGGGAACACAAAGTCACGAACACTAATAATTTGCCGCCTTCACCCTCCCTCCACTGCAAATATTCAAATTCAAATTGCCCGCCTGCTTGTCCACACCAATTTTTATTCTCCTTTTTTAATTTTCAATTTTAAGGAGGGTTTTTCCGGTTCATCCTAAAAAAGAAAAAGGTTTTCTGTAATAAATTTTAGAAGGATATTAATTATATATTTTTATTAATTTGTATAAAAAATTAACAAAAATATAAAAATCTTGACATTATGACGTTTATCATAATTATTTATTAAACAGATATCAATCATGAAATTCACTTAATGAATAGTTGTGATTGAGCTTTTTTATTGTAAAACGTTTTGATTTTTTGAATTCTAAAAATTTTATTTTATTTTTATTATTAATTAATAACTTGTACACATGTGAATAAGAAAATTTTAATTTTTTAAAATAAAAATTTTTTTTTTATAAAGTTTGATGTGATTCGATTTTATATTATTTAAAATATAATATAATTTTTAAATATCATGAAATTAACACACAAAAAACACACATAAGTTTTAATTAAAACGTTGAAAAAATTAAAATTAATTTTTATTTTTT